GTGCACACCCTGAACAACCATACATAGTGACTCTAGATCATCTCTGGCTGTACCCCTCCCTGCAAAAGGATCCTCTATCTGCTCCCTCTTTTCCCTATCAGAGAATGAAAACATTATTCACTTTGCTCCCCAAACCAGAAACTTGGGCATCATCCTTAATGCCTCACATTTATTCACCTTCCATATCCAGACTATTGACTATACCTACCCTCTTCATGCCATCTCTTTTGCCAATACCCTAAGTTCAATGGTTTCATCATTTCATGCCTTGATTACTATGGTAAGCTCCAACGCATCTCAACTATCCAGTCTCCACCCCTCCAGTGCATTCTCCATCAGAAAATCATGGATCTTTCTAAAATACAAATCTGATCATGTCCTTCCATGCCTTCACATCTTGCAATAGTTTACACTGTCTTGATAGAAGACAATAGTTTCTATCAAAAGTTTCTCAACAGAGTTTTTAAAGCCATGAATGGCCCAGCCCTGACCTCTAGCCACTCTCTCATCACTTCCCTCCTTAAATTCTAGCTCTAGTCTCAGAGAGACTAGAGCTAGACTAGACCATTTTCTCAAATGTGCCACACACTCTTGAATACTGGGCTTTTCCATTTTCCTCTACTGGAAACCTCCATACCACCTTTACCTGGTTGACTACTACTCATTCATGAACTCATTCAGCATTTAAAATATTTATTGAGCATCTGTAATGTCCCAGGCACTCATGAAACTTATATCCTATATAGTAGAAGGAAACAGACAATAAACAAACAAGTAAATAAATTATACATCAGAGTGTGGTAAGTACTATCAAGGAAAATGAAGCATGAAAAGGGGGACAGAGAATACCAGCAATGAGTGAGGACTGGGTTGCAATAAATTTTAAATAGCGTGGTCACTGGAAGCTTCATCGGGAAGGTGGCATTTGAGCCGACACCTGTGGATATCTGGGGCAAGGCCATTTCAGGAGACGGAAGGACAAATGCAAAGGTCTTGAGCCTTGCGGGTTCAAGGCTCAGCGAGGAGGCCAGTGGCTGGAGCAGGTAAGCAGAGAAGAGAGCTAAAAGGATGAAGGCAGAAGGGTCGAGTTGGCCAGACCACATAGGGTGCCACACGCCACTGTAAGGACGATGGCCTTTTCTCTAAGGGAGCTGAAAGCCATTGGAGGGTCAGGAGCAGAGCACCACTCTGTCTGCTGTGCTGAGAACCCACTAAAAGTGGACGAAAGGAAGACACGGAGCACAGCAAGGAGGCTGTTACAGTGACTTTGGCTTTCAGTGTCTGCTAGACAGCAACTGTTGTAGAAAACACTTCCTGATTCCATGAATCTAGATCATCTAGGTCATCTGCTTCCTGGCACTGGACGTTCTCATCACAGAAGATACCATAAAACACCTTAATTGCCCATTTACTTTTTTCTGAGCTTCTATATGACTGTAGAACTCTGAGGGTAGAAACTATGAATAACTTATACTGTGATACAGTATTACCTTATACATTTCAGGACTCGTGCCTTGTACACAGTAGGCATTCAGCAAGTTTTTGTCAAATAAATGATTGAATTCCACCAACTAGTGAAGGGCTGTAAATCTCAACCAAAGTGCCAAAACTAGCAGAGAAGTCAATTTTTGGTAATTGAGCTTAGTGTTTATTAACTAATAATCCACATTATTGACTAGAGAAACACTAGGAGCAGAGAAAGAGGTCAGGAGGGCAATGTGTGTGATCAGACTAGCCTTGTGAGTGGCAAAAGAAGGATTTAAAGAACCGTAGCTTGAGGATGAAGGCCTCTAAAAACCCCAGGACTGAACAGCCCCCAAAGATGTCTATCCGGGCTTGTGAATATCTAAGTCTGCATCATAGAAAAATCTGAGGGGGTGGGGTGGGAGGGAAGGAGGGAGGGGAAAGGGGAAGAGAAGGGAGAGAGAAACTGGGATAAAAATGATTCAAAGGCAGTTTTCTAGATGTTACCTTTTAAATTATCTTGCTTTGGGAGCACCGTGGAAAAGGGAAACAAAATTCTCCACGAAAAGAAAAGGAGCCAGTGTTTGCTGCCTTCCTAAACGTCACTCGCAGCGTCCACCTTCTACCTCCTCTTTGCTCCTGCCTTGATTCGTGATGCTCTCTTGTGAAGCAGCATCAGGGCCTCGGCTAATGCAGGACGAGTGGAGGGTAAGGTGGGGAAACAAAAGCGGCCATCTGACTGCATACAGGATGCCATAAAAGCCAAGAGGAAGCAGAGGGCACTTTCCCTGCTGTGGGCACAGTGTCCATGTGGCAGGGTGACCAGTGGGAAGGGCATGGGACTCAGAATCCACTGATGTTTGTAAAATGTGGCTCTGCCAGTTGCTACTTATGTAGCCTTAAGTAGGCACCGTGGCATCTTGGAGTCAAAGGAATCTCCTCTCTAAAACCAAGGTAATAATACCTCCATGAAAGCAGCTGAAAGGTTTTAAAGGGGACACCTTCAAAACCCCTGGCAAAGAATGACCGCTTAACTGTTGCCGGTGCTATTTTTTTTATTACATGATCCTACGCAGGGAAGAGGCACACAATCTGAAATACACACAGCCCACCAGCAGGTGAGGAAGGGCTGGCAGTGCTTTAGGGTGTCCTGAGGGCTTCAGCCTGACTTCCACGACAAGAGGGCTGCCCAGAGACACACTGACACATTCTTAGAGATGCAAGAAAAAAGGTAGGTCTTTTGTATAATCATGAACTTGAGATCCTGGAAAATAAAGGTGCAGACCCCAACCTCTCATAAAGAGGGAAGGTAGACCCTGGACTCTCTTTAGAAATTCTGATTCTTTGTTCCAAGACGTTTGAATTCCTGGCTCAGAACCTTCTTACAGATAGGAGTAAATGCTGTGAAAGTACAAAAACAACAAAGAATGCAGAAATTAGAGGTGGTTGATAGAGAAATGAGGGGTGATTCAGGAAGAGCTGTTGAGAGAAAAGTGGATTCAGACCTAAACATCTGCTCCCAATTAAAGTCTCAAATTCTTCTATAAGCAGTGACATAATCTGGAGACTATTTCATTGGTTATTTAATTGTCAACTACTCCTTTATTATGTAATTTATAAATTAATGTGAAGGGAAAAAAATAAATTGACTCACTTTAATAACCTTTTTTTTTTTGGGGGGGGGGTCCTCTACCAGCACAGCGTTGGTGTGCAACAATAAACTGGCATCATGTGACTGAAGAGGAATAGTACCTTTGTCATCCACAAGTCTATGGTTTCTCACCCTACAACTCGGCTACCATGTTCCATCCTAAGCAACCTGCACTGAAATATTGCCTTTTAAGAGCAAATAACGAGGAGAGGTGGGAACATTTTAATTAGGCCTGATCAGCAAGACCCCGTGTGCACTCCTGGGATTTATGTGCCTTCCAAGCACTTTCATTTGTGCCAGCTGTTCCGATGTATTAATTCTCTGGCTTCTCTTTCCTGCAGGGCCTCCCTGCTATACCCACTGAAAAGAACACAGAGCACAACCCAGCTGGGCCCTGCCAAGGCAAATTAACAATGTAAACTTGCGCAGTATGGGGGAGGTAATTTTTCCTGCCTTTTCTTCCGCCTTGACAGTGTTAAATATTCACCCTGATCGCTTTCTTATTGGTGTTGGTGAGCCTGAAAACACATCATATAACTCACCCTGGTTTTTGGAATACCCAGGCACCTGGTGGAGAAGGAAGTGAACCAAGGGCCTGTTGCCCAAGCAGAGATGGGGGAAAAAAGGCTCTGCGGCCCCGTGGCCTCCCCTTGGGAGGCGTTTATTTAAGAACACGTAAGAAAGGAGGAGCGTTCCCACTTCCGTGTGGGATGTGCAGAAGCACCTTCAACTGTGCTGTTTCACAATCCAAATTACGCACGTTTCAACAGGACACTTGAGATCAGCATGCACACGATGAATTTTAATGGCACTGAGAACGTCAAAAGAATAATTCAAGCTGAAATCCAGGTGCGACAGCAGAAAAGTAAGGAGAAATACACACATATCATGGGGACCCAGTATCAAACCTAGCTAAAGAGTTATCAATCACTATGTAATGCTACCCTCCCCCTCCATTTAGATCAGTATATCTTCACAAATTTGGGGTCGAACAGCCCCCATTTGACAGAGGGCAGGATGTACTTTGTGATTTGCACCGTACCCTTTTTTGCTTCACCTAGTTTTTCACGGGATGTCGTATTTCAGTTCTCTGTGCTTTGTTTGGGCTTAGCTCTTCCAAAATGTGCCTTGTTAGGGGTGTTTGACCCCTTTGGCTGTATTCTTCAGAAGGGGTAGTCTCAGTTCTCAGTTTGACAGGCTAGGGGGTGACCACTGTACCGAGGCCACGGAGAAGGGAAAAGAGCAAGAGGAGGAGAAGGAGGGGACCCCTGTTCTGGTCTTCTGGGATTGGTCCCCACAACGTGGGTACCCTTGGGCACCTCGCTTCATTGACCCCAGCTTCAGGCTCCTCATTTAAAATGAAGGATTGGGCTAAAAATTCTCTGAGGGTTTTATACCTGACTCTCTGAAGCATGCTGTGTCACATGAAAGACCCTTTCCTCAACTTCCACACTTTACAGATCTCTGGTGGGGCCCCCAGATTGAGTGGTTTGGCAGTGAGCATCTAGAAACTCCCAGATCTATAGGAGGAGCTGCCTCAGTCCTGGGCTGTGGGTGCCCCCAGTGAAAGGCAGGTGGGTGGCCGTAGCCATAGCCACTGGTGACCAGGCCGTGTTTAGTTAGAAGGCCACTGCCCTTTCTCTGTTTCTGGCAGGTCCCAGAGATGGATCCAGCTATTGAACTCTGTGTACATGTATAAGGGAAGTGGAAAAATGAAATCAAACAAAAACATACTTACCTGCCTTGTCCTATCTTTTTTCCCTCCTAACTTTTTATTATGGAACATTTCAAACATATATAAAAGTAAAGAGAACTATATAATCAACATCCATTGTCTTGGTCTTCCAGCTTCAACGATTATAACTTACAGCCAATCTTGTCTCCCCTACACTCCCAACCACTCACGCCCCTGCCTGCTTCCCTCACATTCTTTTGAAGCCAATGCGAGACATGAAATCATTCCATCCATAGATATTTCAGTACATGTCTCTAAAAGACGAGGACTTCTTTTAAAAGACAGAACCACAATACCATTATCCTACCAAAAAATAATTCCTCAGCATTGTCCAATATCTAGTCAGTCTTTACATTTCACTAATTTCCTATAACTAAAAAAAACTATTTATTTGAATTATCTGGCCCTAGTTTTCTAGCATTCCTGATCAAAACCATCCCCTCCTGCGGTAATGGCCCAATTCAAAGTCCTTCTAAACATTTAATACATTTATGTCTCTGGTATCACAGTCCTAATCTTCTCCCCCTGATCCCCTCCAATACCTTTCCCTTCTTTTCCACCTGCTCAAATCCCCTGTAATTTTAAAATCACAGGTAAACCATACCACGCCCACAAGAAGCCTTCCTAATGATGGATCCGTCAGAGAGAGACCCCTCCCTTTTCTGAAATCTTGGAGCATTTAATGCGTCATTTCAGTCCTTTGATTTACTGCCTGGGAGAACGGGTTGCTTTCCTACATAAAGCAATCACCATTGCAATTGGATTCTAAGTTCTCAGAGTGTCATGTTTTGAATCTCCCTATAATTATTGGCAAAGTATTTTAGTTGCAATAGGTGTTCAAAACACCCAATGATGGATTAATTTACCTTTTGCCAGGTACATGAAGGAGAACTTTTGCTCTCAGAAACCATCAGTTTAGTCTCCTGTGCCCCTTTGTAAATACTCTAACATTATGAAAGTAACTTTTCCAGCTTAAAGACTCCTTAGGACACTGTGTAAGTTGTGTGAGAAATTGTTCAGCAAAAGGCCTTCCCAAAAGAAAGCAACTTTCTGAGCCAGAACGAGTAATAGATAGGTTCCCCAGCCTGGAAGTCAATGGCCAGAGGAGGGCTAATTGGGTAAAGGGTAAACAGGTAGCGATCTCATCATACTGATCAAATCTGGGTTATGAAATGCAAGTCTATGGCATCTTCTTGGCTGGCAGAAGCTCAAATATATTCAGAAGGTAGAGTCCATTAATTTCTAATGTGTGGCAGAAGATGTCATCTTGTTTTCAATAACATGATATCAAGAACCCACTGGGTTCCCCAAACACGTTTCCTGAATGTAATTACCCTTAGTAATTACAGAATGGCCAGAAAACAACCTTCTAACACACACACACACACACCCCCAACTGGGTGTGTTTGTGTACTTGAGTGGTTGGGAGGGCAGGGTTGGTAATGATGCTGGGTAGAGGCACCTAACATCTCAATTAAAGGGGTGTGGTGAGGCAGAAAGCTACATGGACACACTTTTAAGGGCAGCAGAATGCCCAATGACTTTTTATTCAGTTCTCACTGCTCTATGAAGACTTATTAATGTGTCTTGAGGAACCATTATTATTTGATTGGGCAGAAGCCATATGATTCCCTTAGAGCCCAACTAAAGAAGAGGGTCATTAATGAGTTTTCATCAGCACAGAACAGAATTAGCTTGGAATTTAATCATTTACATCGTATCCAACTTATATAAGATGCATCTTAAATACTCTCGGTTACAAGTGACAAATGTTGCTATACTTCCTTTGCAAAGCATTATTCCAGGATGTAGCTCAAGTCTTATCAAGATCATTCAGAACAGGATGAACAATAAATATTTGATGGCATCCTTCCTACAGCTTCTTGAAAACCAATTTTGAAAAGCCCCAGGGTGTTAACAGTGATCAATTTATGAAATAAACCATTTTCCACTTGAAATAGAAAGGAAGTTCCTGGCTCCTTGGACATGAACAAGGTAAAACTCTGAGGTCACATCAGACTACCTTACACAAAGGCTGTTGTGTTTGTACCTGCTGTGTGCTAGAAGGAAGACAGGGAGAAAAGACAAGCCTGAGGATAAAACACGCCCTTGTACCAAATAAAGGCACGTTTAAAACGAGCCTGTATAAAGAGAATTTTGAGAACAAAGCTATTCAGTTTCCTTAAAATGATATTCAATTGTAGGTCAAGGTGAAAATGGTTGTGGACTAAGGCAGGTTTGAGATGAACGGTATAAATAAGGCAATTAAAATAGGAAGGCTTTCAAAAAGAATCCAATCAGCAAAATTCACAAGAGTATTTAGAACTAATTATCATATATCTGTTAGAATAATTATCCAAAGTAGCAACCAATACCACAGTTATTTAAATATCAATTACCATAGCAGATTTTGTAGCTATCAGTTAAAAACTGCAGTCAAATCACATGTCCTGAAGCTAAATTTATAATCATTATAAAACTTGGAGCTTTTACTATTCTCCAGAGCTTTATAATATAAGAGACACAAGTCGCTTGTCGCTGTTGCTATGAGACAAATGTTTACATCACACACTGCTGGAAAAGGAAGGAAAATTATAGGTTCTTACCAAGTAATCATCAGGCTTGATACCAAAAAGTTCTCTGAAATATCGGAATGCTAGTGGAGCATATGTCTTAAATCTGAAGTCTGGGTAGTGATGTGCTGGGGTCAGATTGCTCCCTTCGCTGCAGTTAAAATAGTTAAAAATAAAGAGAGAGAACATTAGCAAAGGCAATTTTGACTTCAAATTCTAATTCTACAAGTCCCGGGCCCATTTCCCCTCTAGAAAAATACCCCGATAGTGGGTCTCTTGAAGCTCATGTCACAAAGGCTAGTAGCCATCAGGTAAAAACAGGTGCTAACTCAGCAAGGGCCACTCCAAGCAGCCATTGCCTGCCAATCATAGCGTGTCTTCAGCCTGAAAATTCGTCATCATTCCGCAGTGTCTCCTTCCTGACGAAATCAATCTATCTTCCCTGCTGAAACCATAGTTGTAACGGTTTAGGTAAAAGATCCAGGGCGCTGTGTATGGAGCAATTTTAAAAATGCATTTTTTGACCGTGAATTTTGAACACTGGGTAAACATGTTTAGCTAGGCGTAAGTAAAATAATTTTTCAAATATCTCACCAACAGAGAGAGCCGTCAAAGTGGAAATGGTCACAAGTGTACATAACTCTTTGAGCAAATGCATGCCTATAATTTATGCCACAGATAAAGCAGCATGTGTACAAAATGACATACGTGTACCTGGTTATTGATTAAAACATTGTTTGTAAGGATGAAGGACTGGAAGCAATGGATGTCTCTCAGAAGAGGACTGGTCAAGTTATGGTTCAGCCACATGTTGGAATACTATGCAGCTATTAAAAATGAACAAGGGGGCTTAACATGTATTGACATGGTGAGATGTCTAGGATAAATTACATGAAAGAAGCATGATGCAGATACTGTGTGTGACATGCCACCATTTGTATACAAATAGAAAAAAAATAGTTTTGGCATGTATATGCATAAAAAAGTCCTTGAAGGATAAACATGCCCCTAGTCACAGTGATCACGGGTTGGACACTGGGTAAAAAAAGCACAGGGGCGAAAGGGACACTTCTCACAGTATTCTTTTTAAAAACAGCAGGAGGATTAACCCTTCTATGTATTAGCATGCAAAACATTTCAAAAAACTCTTAGAAGTTAGGGTTAAAAGCCATAGCCTGATATACACACTCCCCCAAACAGCTCTGCAGAAGGGTTTGCTTCTGCATGTTCAGCTGTTCTGCTGAAGAACAAACACCAGCATGACTTGAAGAAGCTCTACTCAAGGAAATGTGACTTCATGGGACCGCTGGCCCCAGCTGGAGTCTGTCAGGAGTTACAGTGCACAGGAGCAGAACCAAACAGCAGGACCTGTGAGGATCAGCCAGCAGACGCCAACCTGAGTTTTCTGACATCACGCACTGGCAGACCTACTGGGTGTGGGTGCTGGGCCCACAGAGGCTCATCAGCACACACATGAAATGGTCAGTTAAGGCAATTAAACACAACTGCCATCCACTTCAGTCTGCTGGCCCGTCACAGAGCCCACAGGAGTTCCGGGAGGCTCTCCCTGCCTGAGCCTGGGCTTGGAAGCCTGTGCCCAGCACCTAGACCTACTCAGTAAAAACCAAGTTGCGAACAGCAGGCTTATTCACAATTTAAGATTTATGGTATGATTCTTCAATGCATCTATGTATTTTTTTTGCAGGGGGAGGACCCCCACGTTCCTGTCTTGGCATAAAATTGAGGCTTTGGAAATTTCAGCTGTAAGGTTTTCAGCGGTGGTGCTAGATGTCTGAATCCCAAGGGGCTGGTAAAACGTCAACAATAAAAATTTGGAGGCCAAGGTGTAATTTCCAATTTTATTTCACCAAGTAAGAACCTACACAATTAAGCAAACACACAGTACTCTCCCTATGAAGTTATAACAGAAAGGGTACGTTAACGCCATAAAAGGAGGAAGAAACTGAACAAAGAACAGTACTTTTCTCTTTTATTATTTGTCCTCTATCTTGTCCTTTTATTTCTTATTTCACGAAGAAGCAGTTACTTTTTTTTTTTTTTAAAGATTTTTATTGGGGAATTGGGGGGATGGGAACAGTGCTGGGGAATTGGGGGAAGGAGAACAGACAAGGGCAGTGTCACTGGCCCTCATATGTGGGATCTGAACCAGGGCCCTCTGGCGTCCCAAGCCAGTTCTTAACCATCGCGCCACTCAGCCGGCCCGAAGCAGTTACTCTTGATAACAGACTAATTTTGGTATTTTGATATTCACCTCTTCTGACTAGAGTTCAATTTTAAAGGCTAAAGCCAATGCTCATCTTAAGTCCCAAAATACCCATTTCTTAATGGCATCAGATGTTGGAATTACCGTATTTCCCCATGTATAAGACGCACCCCTTTTCGAAAAATCTGGGGTCTAAAAACTGGGTGCGCCTTATACAGCGGATGTAGATTTTTTTTTAACTTGCATTTCCTGCTTTTTTCATGCTTGTTTTTGCGCTCATGCAACCACTGCATAAGACACACCCAGGTTTTAGACCCCAAATTTTTCCAAAAAGGGTGCGTCTTATACATGGGGAAATACGATACACACTGTTGAAGCCCGAGGAAGCATTAGCTGTTTGTCTGGCATTTCCCATTTAGCGGATAAAGACATCCAAGGCCAGGAAGGAGAAGTAATGGGCTAACCTGGTTAGGAGCACGCAAGACTGGGAAACCAGAGCAGACAGGCTCACCTTACTGTTTCTCCGTTTCTCTTCCTTTTCAGGATCTAGTTACAGGCTTCAGGGTACAACCTGCCCAAACACCCAAATTGCTTCTCCATGAGTTCCTCACCCTGAAGGGTCAGGTGGGCTGGGTTTGATGAGCCACATAGGCCTTCTCATCTGTATGTCCTGTGCATACCTCAGCTTTGCGTCTGTGGTTGTAGAGCCTATTTTTGGTGGCATTGGTGGAGAGATTTGATGCTAAGCACTGGAGTGAAACTGATTTCGTATCTCCAGAACCCTTAAGGGGTCCAGTTTTAGAGCTCAGACCCAGAGCTTTGATATTTTAGAAGCAGCATTTCATATATGGTGAACTTCCTTGATTTCAGATAGCAACTGTCAATAGTGAGTTTGGGGCCTCTTGACAAAACGGTTGGGTCAGCTAATGCTAGGTAACAGATTTACTGTGAGGGATTGGTTCATGGGATTATGGGGGCTGAGCAGTTCCACGATCTGCCATCTGTAAGCTGGAGGCCCAGGAAAGCTAGTGGTGTTAATTCTAGTCCGAGCCCAAAGGTCTGTGAACCAGAGGAGCCAATGGTCAGTCCTGGTCTGAGTCTCAAGGCCCAAGAACCAGGAGTGCTGATGTCGGAGGGCAGAAGGAGATGGTGTCTCAGCTCAGCAGAGAGTGAACTAGCCCTTCAGCCACCTTTTTGTCCTGTTCAGGCCTTCAACAGATTGTGTAATGCCCACTGGAATTGATGAGGTGGTTTTCTTTATTCAGTCTACTTATTCAAATATTAATTTCTTCTAGAACCCCCCTCACGGACACACCCAGAAATAATATTTGACCAGCTATCTGGTCATCCATTTCTGAATCAGTCAAGTGACCACATAAAATTAACCATCACAGCAAGTTTTATCACGCCCCCCATGAGGAGGATAAATAAAGGGTGCTTTGTCTTAATGTGCAGGTGGTGATATTGAGACAAAGAAAAATTAAGTGGTAAGACTGCTGGACAAATAACACCGTATTTCAGTAACAATCTGGTGGTGGCACCCAGTTTTCAATCTGGACCTTTGCAAGTCAGGGTCTGCAGAAGCAGCTTAGGCATTATTAATCGTCTCTGCCAATTCAGGGAATGTAGAGATCTCTTAGTTACCACATATGATTCTATCTAACCAGTGACATAGAAATTGGTCCTCTTTCTTGCCAAATTAGATAGTGCTCTTGAATGGAAACACAAAGCAAAACAGAAGACATATTTCTTCCTGGTGCTGACCTCCCTCAGCTGAGCTGCTTTGTGCAAAAGGAGGCTGCACCATCTTTTGAGGCCAGTCAGCTGACAGCCAGGCTTTAAAAGTCAGTATCTGAAAATAGCTTCAATTCCAAAACAATGTAATTTATTCTGGGGTGTCATTTACTGGGAACATGTGATATTATTGATTATCTAAATGTTAAAGCCTCTCAAGTCGTTATTACCATACTTGGAAATTGTGTTTTGAAGGCAATTTCAAATAAGTAAAAGGTTATATAATATTCAGCATGTGCAATAAATCTTCCATTTTCAAATAAAGGAAGAGGTATATCACTTTGATTCATAGGAAATCAGTTTCTCCCCGCCCCCACTACATATGCTGAACAAATATTTAAAGAGTTTTGACTTGAAGGGACGTCATATCATTGGCTTGCCCGGTGACAGCCACATATCTCAACCCGGAGAAGAACATTCTGGCAGCTTTGTGTTCTATCCACATATACATAAAACCTGGTGCTGAAGTCTGTATAGATCAGGGAGGGGTTGGCAATCTTTTTAGAGTCTCTGATGCAACTATTTAACTCTGCTGTTGTAGTGGAAAAGCAGCCACAAACAATATATAAATGAACGTGGCTGCGTTCCAATTAAACTTTATTGATAAAAAGATGTAAGGAGCCAAGTTTGTGCCAGGGGCTACAGTGTGCTGACCTGTGGTATAGATAGCATTCCTTGAAATTAGGTAGTTGGCTAGTATGTCAAAACCATAATATCTAACACTGATATGTGGCAATGCTTACATAAACTTTTGACATTCATGTTTGCTTGTCATTTAGAATAATATTTTACCCTCACAGGAGCTCTGTGGAATTCTCTCCCACAGTGATGGTGTTACTGTAAGCAGGAAGAATAGGGCTGCAAGGGAGGGGGGAGATTAGGGAGGAGGAGGCAAGGTCAGCAGCTCAGGAAAGAAGCCCTCTACAATCCAGCCAGAACTGGGTTTCGGCAGCTGAGGGAGGGTCCAGGATGCCATCTCTCCACTTTGGGTGAACTTTAGCTGATTATAATAGATTATAATGCTATTAGCATGGCCACCAAGAAAAATCTTCACCCCCTGTGTTGCCATGGCTGTTCTGAGAGAGCCAAATAAGGACAAAAATGCGCCCTCCTGAGGGGGGGGGGGAAGTGGT